AAAAACGCCCAAAAGCGGCTTCGCCGAATGCGAGCTTGGGAGGAGAAGAAGCAGTACAAGAAGCAGCTGCAGAAGCAGAAGAAAAAGGAAATGAAGGAGAAAAAGAGAGACGAGAAGCAGAAGTCTAGAGCTCTAGAGAAGGAGCAAAGTGATGTGGATATGGATGGGTCAGAGACGACGCCAGTGCCAGATGGTGAGGGGGAAAATAATGCTGAGTCGGAGTGGAAGGTTATGATGGTCGTGGGACAGAAGAGAAAGGGGGAGGAGCGCAACGGGGCAGGGGGTGAGGGGGTGACGCAGAGTGATTGTTTTACCGGGCCGCTGGGGAAGAAGGCAAAGATCCTGCAGGTGCAGGTGCCGATTACGATTATCATTGATTGCGGTTTTGACGACCTCATGACCGATAAGGTTGGTTCACCGTCAAATCCCTTTCTTCGTCAATTCTTAATTCCCGTTTCCACAGCGCTAAGGCGTAGGGTTCTGACAGGAAATCATCTCGCTCTCCTCCCAACTCACCCGTTCCTACTCCGACAACCGTACTGCACCCAAACAAGTCTCCTTATACATCACCTCGCTCAACAAGCGTCTTGCACACCGCATGGAAACGACTCTACGCAACCACCACACGAATTGGAAAAAGGTTAGGTTCTCGAAAGACGAGTATGAGGTTACCCAAGAGAACAGAGAGAAGGGGGACTTAATCTATTTGACAAGCGATTCGGAGTTTACGTTAGAGGAGTTGGAGGAGGGGAAGTCGTATATTGTGGGGGGAATCGTGGATAGAAATAGACATAAGGTAGAGAGTCCGACGCCCAGCATCCCTACAGGGACGGCCATGGCTAATGATATCTTGACGGACAGGGCCTCTGCTACAGAAAAGCCCAAGAGCAAGGAATCAGGACTGCAAAGCTCCCCATCGGAGAATACATACGCATGTCGTCGCGGTTTGTACTTACGACAAACCAGGTCATTGAGATTATGCTCAAGTGGCTGGAGTTACGGGACTGGAAAGAGGCGTTTTTGAAGGTGATACCGCCGAGGAAGCAGCCCGAAGCCGCTGATAATCTCAGTTCCCCACAACCAGGTATTGGTTAGTTTCCAGGGCAATCTTTGGAGCACAGCTAGTATCGATATGTGTTGAATTTTAAGCACTCGAAGTATGTAAACTGACAGTCTCACCTGTCGTTATTGATCTGTGCTGGCGCGACATACGTCCGAGTTGACCTCCCCGGTTTCTAAATAGGAATATGCATAACAGCCCAGAAATGACCCCAATCACGAGACTAGTAATTCCAGCCCTTCCTTCGGTTCTCATCATTGCTCGAGATAAAAAGCTACGAAAGGAGACATCCTCCAAAATCCTACAACGCGACAGAGCGACGTAAACTCCAATGAATATACAATGATCTCAGCAACCTTTCCAGCAGTCAGTCACATACCTCACTCACTCGCTATAATATTGAAAAATAAAAATAAAAATAAAAATAGAAAGCAAAAATCAAAAACAGGCTACCCTGGTTCCACTATAATTTGATCATATGGAAGCGGAGCATTACAGTCCATCTTTTAGAAAGATGTTGGACAAAACTCTTCCTCAGCTCGACGTGAGAATCGAACCTGAGCCCTCAATTCTGTACCTTCCACGGCGTCTTGTTACCTCTATCACTAGAGATAACGGAACATATCACTTCACCAAGCTACAGGTCAGTTCGAGCGGTGTACATCCCCCCGTCCTCTTGTACCCAACTTACCATCCTACCCCACGGCCCACCACACCGTTCCACCTTCTCGTCCAACTACCCCTCCGATGCGATGGTAGGCGCATGGGAGCTTGTGCGAGCATAGGAACTTGTGAAGCTGCATGTGGCTTGGGATTCGGTGTAGAGGAGAGCTTCTGCAGTTGCTCTTGAAATAGGAAATAAAAAATTCTCATCTTGTCCACATTTTGAAATTTGTGCCTTCCCTTGTTTCGTTATTGAGCCATAGCTGACTTGTTTGTGTATGATCTAGAATTCGTGAAGACAGCTTGGGGGTGTAGGTAAAAGAAAGGAAACAGAACAAGGGATGGAAAAGGTTAGAAAGCACTAGAGATGACTGATAAAAAGTGTTAGGAGGAAACGAACACTCTACAGCCGCTTGACACATGATTGCTCTGCTGGGACTTCGTAGGAACAACTACAGTGGACGAGTAAGTGAGTAAGTGGCGGGCATACTCAACTTTCACTTCTGGGCTGGTTGTACACGGAAATCACAGAACATTTGGGTAGACTAAATCATACATGTGTCACCCATTACCCTCATAAGAACGCATTGCCACCAGTAAATACTAGAACCAGGTAAGATGCCCTCCCAAAAAAAATTATTACAGTTGTTTCGCTGGGATAATCAGCTGTCTGGCATATCTGCTCACGTGCCCAGACTGCAATTACTCATACTACCATTTGCGTCTTCGGCATATCATTACGTACCGATGTCAGCTCGTCCAGAGACCTGAAAATATGGTTAGTAGCTCTTTACTTCCTGGATACTGTAGGGGCTCAATGGCCAGCCAGACAATTTTGCCGAGTATACACAACTACCATGGAAGAGTAATATTCTTGAAAGCAATATCTGCCATTCGACCTTTCTCAATGTGAAACTCATTCATATCCTGTATTCAAGCGTATTCAAACACAATCGATAGGCCATTATCATGTTATCCGCTGGAGGAATATGATTATACCCGTAATCGTTTTGCAGTTAGTGATCCTGTAGATAGGTATCCCCTTTCTCCACAAGAGGACCTCCATTCAATGCTAAGTTGACCAAGTACAACACGTTCCGACTGTGGATCTTCTTCCTTTTTCGCAGATTTATCCGGCTTGAGTAGGAAAGCAACCTGCATGACATCCCTGGGCCTCAATAGTGGAGTAGTTCTGGCTCCTTCCCCGTCTATATCCCAGTTCAGGCTAGTCGACTTCCAACCTTTTTTGGGAGCCAAAACGACCTCCTCAAGTGATATAGGACCATCTCCATTATTTTCTAGTTGTGCCTCAAGGATAGCGTGCCCACCTGGAAGCTCGCCAGCTTTAGTTTTGACTATCAAGCATTGTTGGGCGGGGAATTGATAAAGCTTCTTGAAACTGCGTGCTCGCATATTGCCCATGTCGAGCTCTTGCGCATCACCAGATCTCTTCGGCGGCGAAGAATAGGTAACAGTAACACCGAGCACATGCTTCCCCTCTTCCTTCAGGTCAAATTTTGCAATTCTTTGCATAGATTCTCCCGGGCGTAAATCGACTATGCTTTGTCGATCTTCGGGTATAATGAGTTCCAAGGTTTGGGTGAGGGAAGGTGTCTGCATCTCAGCAGTGATACGGACGCCCGTGATTGTCACTTCAGAGTCATTATTTGCAGATAGAAGACAGCTAAAACTCTCGCCTATGTACGCATTTACGAAAGCCGGAGGCAAGGTGAGCTATTCCGTCACAGAGCCATGCATAGATTAGTTTTGTAAACTGGATCTTTGATTAGCCGGTAGCGTAACATACCGCTGGGCTTAGAATAAACTGCGTCTCGGGATGTGAAGGATATGCTAGAGACTGTTGATGTAGCACAGAATATTCAGGGCTCTGGGTAGGGCAAAGGCTCGGATGGGGTAGAGGATAATGCTGGTTCAGAGAAGGCCGCGATAGCCTTGAAGACTGTCAGCGCTGTAACGGGATGAGGTAGAAGAAATCTACTCGCCTAACGACTTTCAAGTTAAGATTATGCGGTTCCTTCTGTATATCCAGTTGTGACGTAGACGTAGACGTAGAGCGCTCCCGAGCCATCTATATAAGATAGTTCACAGCTCAAAGAAAGCGGGTTGTTACCTTGCAGCGGGACGTAGATGTATTTTGAGAGTGAAGTCACATGAACTAAGAAGTGGCGTACAAGGCTCATGAGTAAGCAGGTACCATGGGGGCAAGCCAAAGCTGAGTCCCCTTCTTGGCATGCGAAGGGTTTTGCCATATGCATATGCTGCGGTTCATGTACTAGTACTTGATTCCCCCATTGCACCAGCAGCTGCTCGATTTTGGTATCGCAGTTCCATTGCCTCGCTCTACATCGTACTAGACCCTCCGAAGGGTATGTGGTCTGATTCAAGAAACATCTCTGTCATCAGCTGCACCATTGGTCTCAGGTAGATCCAGAACTGCTCCAAACGCGCGTAATATATCCAATCCATAGAAAGAGGGGTATTATTCCTTGCCCAATTTCTGGTAATACTGTGTCATTGGCGCTACTCCTGTATTAATTGCGCTCACCAGGGAAGACTGCAAGCAACATGTTCAATTCATCACGCTTGCACATCATAGCTAGTGAGACATGAAGATAACATCTATCGACCTTGTTACCGAGTATGTAGAGGCCGATTGCTTCAGTCAGCAATTGGCCAATAAGAGATGGGAGTACCTCACAAATAGTGATGCACCAGGCAATTGTACTGGGCCTAAGCATCATCTTTAATCACCCTGATGTTCACAGAAATATTGGATGGAGAGATGTTGGAGCTGATGCAGTTACATACTCAGCAATTCGTGATGTGAAGGTAGTAAGATGTGCCTGCTTGAAAGGAAGGGCCCTGCAAGCTCTGCCGCTGTTTTTCTTGTGTTACAACTTCTATGTGAGCATTAAAGTACTTGTCTCGTGAACTAGACCTATTCTTTTTAGTAAGCTCGTATGGACACCTAGTGTTCTATCAAATGCCTTCCAGAATTCTTACAGTTGTATCTTTCCTTTATCAAATTGTATATAGTTAGAATTGCATGAAACCCCAGAACCCTATTTAGTTACATCCAAAAGGGAAGTAGATACATGCTTCTTTGATATACATAAAGAAAAGATTAATATCAAAAGACACCCATAATAGTCACCTATTTTGATCCCACTTCATGTGCAGTGTGAGTAAGCGATACACTCTCCTTGCTCTCTCTTTCAGTGGTCTACCGACCAAATGCCCAAAAATAAAAACACAACACCCGTCACGAGGATCGAACTCGCAACCTTCGGCTTTCACTTTTCTTCCCCGCTCTTTTCAATCCTTTGCTCGAAACCCCGAAGAAAGAAGGTAGGTTAGGAGGCCGACGCGCTACCATTGCGCCAAACGGGCTGTTGATGTGTGAACCTTTGTATAAACCATCTTATAGTATCTAGCAAATCCTTCTATTTTAAATAGCTATATAATGTTCAGTATTAGTAGCAAGTATATACTTTGAGTATATTCGTACGGCAACACAGATACTTCCGCCACCTTCCAGACCCACTCAACCCCCTAGTAGCCAATCCAGCACCTCCCCTGTCTTCTCTACCAAGACACTTGTATGCCCCTCCCCCTTCACCACCTTAAATCTCTCCCCCATACCCCCGCCATACTCCTCCCTGCTAAACCCCACTGGCACTCTATCATCCCCTTCCCCCACCCACACGCTTAAATCCCAGTTTTTATCCCCAGTCTGTCCCGGGTTTCTCTCACCCCTCCCCGTCTCCCCTACCCAACTCCACGCCGGCGGCTCCCTCATCACGGCCCTCCCCTCCTCCCACCACCCTACCCCAAAATTTCTCTCTACCGCTCTCCTCAGCCCATGTATCATATATTCAATCTTCTCCCTATTCCTCGGCGCCGTCACCGCCCTAATATCTGCTTCATTCGACAACTGGGATGCGAACTCCTTGGGGCCAAAGCGGCCGAGGCGCGTGCGAAGCGCCACGATGTTAAGGAAGAGCAGAGGGAGGGGGGGCAGGTATTGTGTTGAGAGGTACACAGGGTAGAATGTGGTTCTGGGTAGGCGGGCACGGAGACGATTAAGGGCGAGGTGGGTGGGGGGTGTTGGGGATATTATGGCACTACGTGTTTCGCGAGGCGTGTCGAGGAAGAGACGGCGGTAGGTGAGTAGCCATTGGGCGCCGCCCGAGTATGATAAAAGGTGAGGCGGGTGTGTAATATTAAGATGGCTCGTTAGAAGCTATATTGGGCGACTCACAATCCCGTGGGGAGCTTTTTAGCCAGTGTGATTCCGCTCAGTATCTGAGCCATAAGTTCAGAGAGTGGGTCATAACGAACCTCATGAACATTCTCCGCAAAACTCTCCAGCCCAAATCCATTTCTCAACCAATGCATATCTGATTCCCCAACTCCCGGTCTATCAATCGAAATCACCCTTACTCTACGTTCCATCGCCTCTTTTTCAAGTATTCGTCCTTCCAAAAGACTATCTGCACATCACCGCCATCATTACGTCAGTTCCAATGTCATAAGCGGAAGGCCAGGAATTTCTTTCAAACAAATGCTCAATAAGAGAAACATATGTAAGCATACTCGACCACCCATGGAAATATACCAGCTCCCTTCCTGGTCCACCCTTCCCTCCATAGAGCGCGTAGCAAAGCCGTCTCCCATCCCGGCGGAGCCTGTAGATTTGCGACAAGGGTTCCTGAAACTTTCCCTTTGGCATGGGTTTTTCAATTTGTTACCCTCAATAAGAAGTATTCACAGGTCTCATACGGTTTCTTCAGGACTTTGCATTCCTCATAGGATGTATATGTAAACAACCAGGAAGCTTCACATAAAAAAGCAGGAAGGTTTCTCTGACGTTGTTGAGCCTAGGAAAACAGCACGTGATGGCACTACCGGAAATGGACTAGTTAGGCTCCACCTTGGCAGTAGAAAGTCAAGGTGAACTGCTTTGATGCACGTTTCATTGTTTTCAATGCGGTCCCAGCGAGTTCATCACACTAGGGGTTGTCACTGACTTCACTGGGAATAACTAATAGAGAAAATACTCTAGTGACACTAAGCGGGAACCCCATTTTTACCTTGAGAAATTTAGTAAGTAATGCGAATTATCACAAACTATATGCCTCTACATATCACCGCATATATATGCGTATCGACTTTAATCTTTTGCAACATGCCTTATTTAATTCAAAGAGCTACAATACAACAAAAGCTTAGGAGCGATGTAAAAGCTATCATGATGCTTATGATTCTTAATTGATGCGTGATGAACCCATAAATATGAATAGGATATGTATGCATTATTTGTGTTTGTAGATGCATCTGAATGTTGACGTGAATCGGGATGTGAATACGCGGGTGGTGCATATGGTGCGAAATAATGGGGGCGTATGCAGCAAAGTAGGCTACTAACTGAGCCCACTACCAGTCGAATTTGATGGTGACAGGCGTTATGTTGGCACTGGAGACTACAGTACATAGGCCAATGAACGAAGGGAGCCAAGGCACATCAGTTAGTAGTGGTACTTTCTGGTAGTCATTCCCAGTATGTCAGTGACAACCCCTACTATCTCAACGATGCACCACACCCATTCTGCAGTTGCTTCGATGCCGCCAAATTTGCTATACATCCTCAGCATAGGCTATTGAGTATACATCAAGATGAATAAGAACTTACATACTAGCTAGTAAAATATGTATTCGGACATAGCGCATAATGTGTATTAGTACCCCTGTCCGAATACATATTTTACTGGCTAGTAGGAACATTGACACCTGGTGGCTTAAAATATGTCCCCAAGAGGATCTGGCATATACCAAATAGGTCACTATTCATATACTAGAAATCAGCCTAATGAATATGCGGAAGATAATTCACTACATTCTACCATGCTCTGGCTTCAATTTGACCTCACCTGAGGGCTATTTGCACTCACAGGAATATTTTGTTATGGTATCTGGAAAATGTGCCACATCTTCGTTATGTACAATATCTTGGTACAGGAGCGTACAGTACTATGTTGTAGATCTCAAGCTTTTGCTAACCTTGTATTGTACTAGCTAGTAAAATATGTATTCGGACATAGTGCATAATGTGCCTAGCTAGGAATATAGCACTGGTAGTACTATTGCCACCATGGTGGAGTATTAGAGAGTGGGCATTTGCTGGTGAGTACTGGAGGGGGTAATCACAAGGTGCAGAGGTGATACAGCTATAGATGCTCTAGATGTGGCATTTTTCTTTCAAATTCAGAATCAGCGCAGTCAATATAGTGTATAATTAATTCATTGTATATACTAGCACTATATTCCATGAGATATTGCCTGCATTCGGCTGTGGGGGAGCGTTACCGGCCGTGAAGAATGTTAGTGCCAGGACGTAAGATACCTACTCACTTCGGTGCATATTGGTCTGGGGTGGCACAGAAACAGGTTCAAGGGATGCGTGGGAAAAATGATGCATATCTACTATCTGCTAATTCCATATTTACTGTACTTTCCAGCTTTTATGTCATCGGAATCTTGAGATCGGATGTTGTGCCGGTGTTTCAAAGCTTCGAAAGTTGCAATCCATGTAACATATAAGAGCTGACATACAGGTGACCCTGGTTATAATGAAGGCCAAGAATCCGACTGATCTTCACTATAGCAAGGGCACTTTCTTCACAAAGAATCTGGCTCATCCCTTCACTATAGCCAGGTTTTCACTAAAAAGAGGTTCTTATAGCCAGAGTCACCTGTACTCGCTGGTTCGGAAAGTATTGGAATGCTGCATAAAAGCGCATGCACTATTCGCCTTTGAAATAGTGCATATTTTATATGAGCGCTCCAATACTTTCCGAGTCAGCGAGTATGTACAGTCACTGGTCAAAAGTCTTGGTGACGCCACTTTTCTTGGCACCTCAAAATGCTTCCTTGCACAACTTCAAATGCTCATATCTCCACGATCCATAGCCCAACTTCAGAAGTTGTACCTGCAAGTTATAGCACTGTGTCTTTAGTATTGCATATCACATGCAGCAATCATGAGAATAGTGGTAGTCAATTATATGGACCAATAAATCAGGAGTAAATTCTAGCATTTTTTACCTAAATTCTCTCTGCATAATAGTGTAGTTTCATACAAGGAGAATATTTTTGGGGCTAGTAAATTTTGCTATGAAAATACATATTGAGTCCATCTTATTTCATATTTTTAATATTTTTATGCTGTGTTGCGGGTTCTGTGTGGAGCTATGTATTTCCAGACACCGATATTTGACCCCAAAATGACAATTTTGTATGGGAATTTGGCAGTCTTGGCGTTCTTTGAAGTTTGCGATTTTATCTCGGCAGCGACATGACCCCAACATCTGTTCTACAACCGGAACCATGAAGTTTCAGGTAGTACCTATCATAGAAAAAATCCTGTTTGCCTATCTAGTTGTGGTGCTAAAGATACATAACAATTCGAAAAAGTCACAGTTTTTGTATGGTATACCTAGTCATCAATAACTTTTTTTAGATATTACACTGCAATCATTGTGCTATAAGTATATCCTGTGCTGTGGCATAAACCATACTGCTTACACTATCACCAGTTCAAGTTGTAGGTTAATTGGGTCACTTCTCGTGGAGATATCTTAATTTTTGTTCATATGGACATTGTCGCCGCTTGGTGCTCAGATCCCTTTCACCAAGACTTTTGACCAGTGACTGTACTAGGTCATCTCAAAAGTATTGTGACACCAATAATCTGAGACACACGATTTTCTGGGACGGTTACTGTCCCATTTCACCCTTTTCAGTACATACTTCCTCTTCCGGAAAGAAGTGACAATTTTCCCCCCAGATAGGTAAACCAGAACTAATCAAATATTGCTGGGTAAGCATTCTGCTTCGGCTTTTGTTTTCAGAAACAGTAGAATCACGTAAATAATTTCTGTTTCCTAGGTATATGATCCAATTCAGGAGCGAACTGCTGGGCTATTTGTTGAATACCTCCGCTCAAATTTGTTCTGCGTGTGCATTCTACTTCCAGAAACACCACATGTTCGGTTTTGAATCTTGAGGGCATTGTTTCAAACCTTGCTTATTTCTGCTGAAACGTGCTCACTGATCGGACGACCTGCGCGTACTGTCTCTCTAGTACGTCACACTAGATGGATTTTGTGTAAGCACCAGAAGTTCCGCCATAAGCTCCGGCGTGCATTTAGGCACGTGGCGCCTAGTGGTGAAACAGCAAGGGGCTTCAGAATGTGAGCATAATACGTATTGTACTGGTAGGATACATGAGCTTCAGGATTTCGACGTTGCAAGCTCAAGTGCAAGCATTGAAAAACTATGACAGCAGCAGTGAAGGGGTACGAGCACGCAATTGTATGCAAGACGGTCAT